ACACGTAAATATTGCTATATGTCAAAGGAATAAATTATAGTGTTTTGAAATGTACGAGTATAATAATTTAGATATAATGTGTGACTGTGGCAATCAATTTATTTTAAGTGACATAATAATAATAGCTTTATTGCTCAACAGTTACCCCATTTACAGAGCAATTTTATTTTACTTCTAAAAATTATAAATAGTTACTTAATCTAAATACAGATACAATACAATCTTAGTACATTAATTACGAAACAATTAGGTATACAAAAAAAAATACGAAGATAATCCACATATCATCAAAAGATACGTTCCTGATTTAGTAGTTGTATAACAACAACCAATATGCGCTCAAAATTATCAAAATGAATGTCACACAAGTGGCATAATTTATTAAAGTTACAACACATTACATATAAAGGTGATTTTAAAGTAAGATTCATTCTAGGAATGTTAAGAAAAAAGGTTTTCGTATGTCTTGAGTGTTGTCTGGGTATATTAAACTGAATTTGAGACAGAAAAACAGAGCAATCAATACTGTTATGTAATATTTTGTATAAAAAAGACAGTGAAGAACATTTTCTTCTTACGTCTAAACTGGTAATATCAAACCTTGTCATCAACGTATTGTATTGAGTATCAAATTCTGGATAATTTCCAACTTCTTTAAAATGCAAAAATTTTAAAAACTTTCTCTGAATTCTTTCAATACTGATTTTGTAACACTGATAATATGGATTCCAAATGACGCAACCATATTCTAATTTAGACCTGACAAACGAATAATATAATGTTTTTAAAGTTTTAATGTTGCTAAAGTTTCTACAGTTTCTTAATATGAAGCAATACGCTTTTGCTGCCTCATTTATTTTAGTGAATATGTGTTCCCGAAAAGATAAACTATAATCAAAAAGTACACCAAGGTCCTTACCGGTTTCATAGCGAGAAAGTGCAATGTCAGTAATAACATAATCAAAAATAATATGTAGCCTCTTCTTGGTATAAGAAAGAATTTTACATTTGGGTATATTAAGATGCAATTTATTATTTGAACACCAAGTTTGCAAATTGGTTAAAGACTTCTGTAATTTTAAGCAATCACCTATGGAATAAATCGATGTAAAGATTTTCATATCATCAGCAAATAATAACTTATTGCAGTCAACTACTTGACAAATGTCATTAATAAAAATTAGAAATAATAAAGGCCCTAGGTTTGAGCCCTGAGGGACTCCTGAAGTTGCAAAGTAATTCGGTGACACAAACCCATTATATGAAACAAATTGGACTCTATTATTTAAGTATGATTTAAATAGTGATAACGCGTTGCTATTGAAGCCAAATTTGACAAGTTTCTTTAAAAGGATTTGGTGATCAAGTCTGTCAAATGCCTTTGCAAAATCTGTATAAATAGTGTCCACTTGACCGCCTTTATCTAAAGTATCAGATACAAATTGAGTAAATACTATCAAATTTGTAACAGTGGACCTGTTCATCATAAAACCGTGCTGTTCCACCACTAACTGACCTCTAATAACATTGTATATACGATTATACAGTATAATTTCAAAAAGTTTAGAAAAGTTGGAAAAGATAGATATAGGACGATAATTTTCAATGGACACACCTTTGCTTGTTTAGTTAAATAATATTTTTAAAGGAACAACGAACACAGATATACAATCTTTTATAATGAATGAGGGTAATTTATCTGGCCCAGATGTCATCTTATTTTTTAATTTTTTGGAAGCTAATAAAATTTCAGATTCAGATATAGGTTCAAAATTAATGAATGCTTAGTTGTTGTATGAATTATTAGAGATATTGGGTTCAGAAGTAGATGGAATAAGAACACAGTTGCTGTTAACATAAGTACTTTTTTGTTTAAAAAATAAATATGTCTCGATTCATCTAATAAAACTTAATTGAAATTGAAAAGTTAAGATAAAAATAAATCTCCATACTGAATTACCGTTTAAACCTGTTTCATCATTACAAATTTACATAAATATAACAATTTTCAACTTCAAAAATGTGTCAGTTTATCTTTTTCCGACGACATCCATTCTTTTTTAAAATTAAGCTAAATCAAATTAATTCTAAAAATTTTTTTTAGGATTTTTGGTTTAACTTCATTTGATTGGATTAAAAAATAAATAATTTATTTGAATTAGCTTATATTGAAAAAATATCGGAGATAAAATAAAAGATATATTTTTAATTAAAGTCCTGTACAACAATAATTATAAAAATTATTTGTTAAATAACGACCTGTTCCAGATTTTTTAGCATATTGAGAATTGCAAGAGTACCTACTATTCAAATTTGTCATGAAAATGTTGTATTAAATCTTTAATGAACACAGGCTATTGATTATAGGATATCAAAAGTAACTATGACCTCTAAATATTTTATTACATGAATCGTTCAAACGGTCATTATAGATGAAAAACCGTGGAGTGCTATTAAATTAGAGGGTGGAAATTGAAGATAGGGGTGAAAATGCATCCCTTTCAGTTTTCTAATTGTAGCTCGAAAACGAAGCAAAATTTCAGTATAGTTCATAAGAAAAATTATTTAGAGAATTGAATTTCCCATCAAAGTGGCTTATTTAAAAAATTTCAAAGGAAAATTTTATGCAAAAAATCGTTAATAAACAATTTGAAAAAAAAGCAAAAAATTCGGTTTTTTTGATTTTTTACTTTTTTGCCTCTAGTTTTTATTTTAGTAAATAGCATAGGCATTGCTTCATAAAAAAAGTAGATAAAATTTCCTTCAAAACAAGAGGTTGTAAAGTATTTTTGGACGAAAATTGACTGATATATGGCCGTTCAAACTTAGCCAATTTTCGTCGCGTTTACCCTTACCTATACGTTTTAATTGTAATTTTTTGAAAAAAGGAAGGAAATAAGACATTTAAGGAATTTTCTATTAAATTAGAGATTTGAAATTGAAGATAGGGGTGAAAATGCACTTTTGCAGTGTTTTAAATTTAGCACGAAAACGAAGCAAAATTTTAGTATGGTTCATAAGAAAAATTTTGTAGAGAATTGGAGAATTCTCATCGAAATGGCTTACTTAAAAAATTTAAAAGAAAAATTTTACGCAAAAAATCGTTGCTTTTTTAAAAATTGTTTATTAACGATTTTTTACATAAAATTTTCCTTTCAAATTTTTTAAATTAGCCATTTCGATGGGGAATTCAATTCTCTAAATAATTTTTCCTATGAACTATACCGAAATTTTGCTTCATTTTCAAGTTACAATTAAAACACTGAAAGGGGTGCATTTTCACCCCTATCTCCAATTTCCATCCTCTAATTTAATAGCACTCCGCGGTTTTTTCATCTATAATGACACTTTGAACAAATCATACATTAAAATTGCTTGAACGTCATAGTTCCTTTTAATCAAGTTTTTTTTGCTTATAATCAATAGCCTAACAAATAATAATTTTTAATAGGAAACGAATCTTAAACGTAGAAAATGTAACAGTTATGTCGACTTCAAAGACAATGGCGTGCAACAAANGGTATATTAAGATGCAATTTATTATTTGAACACCAAGTTTGCAAATTGGTTAAAGACTTCTGTAATTTTAAGCAATCACCTATGGAATAAATCGATGTAAAGATTTTCATATCATCAGCAAATAATAACTTATTGCAGTCAACTACTTGACAAATGTCATTAATAAAAATTAGAAATAATAAAGGCCCTAGATTTGAGCCCTGAGGGACTCCTGAAGTTGCAAAATAATTCGGTGACACAAACCGAATATATGAAACAAATTGGACTTACTTAAGTATGATTTAATTTAAAATTTGACAAGTTTCTTTAAAAGGATTTGGTGATCAAGTCTGTCAAATGCTTTTGCAAAATCTGTATAAATAGTGTCCACTTGACCGCCTTTATCTAAAGTATCAGATACAAATTGAGTAAATACTATCAAATTTGTAACAGTGGACCTGTTCATCATAAAACCGTGCTGTTCTATCACTAACTAACTGACCTCTAATAACATTGTATATACAATTATACAGTATAATTTCAAAAATTTTAGAAAAGTTGGAAAGGATAGATATAGGACGATAATTTTCAATATTCACTTTGTTGCCATTCTTAAAAATTGGACACACCTTTGCTTGTTTCCAATCAAGTGGAAATATATTTGTCTTCAAACATAAGTTAAATAATTTAGATTTTTTGATTTTTTACTTTTTTGCCTCTAGTTTTTTTTTTAGTAAATATAGGCATAGGCATTGCTTCATAAAAAAAGTAGATAAAATTTCCTTCAAAACAAGAGGTTGTGAAGTATTTTTGGATGAAAACTGACTGATCCCTTACCTATACGTATTAATAGTAATTTTTTGAAAAAATGAAGGAAATAAGACGTTCAAGGAATTTCATCACATGACTTGTTCGAAGGGTCATTAAAAATGAAAAAACCACGGGGTGCTATTAAATTAAAGGGTTGAAATTGAAGATTGTTGTGAAAATGCACTTTTGTAGTTTTTTAAATTTAGCACGAAAACGAAGCAAAATTTTGGTATGGTTCATAAGAAAAATTTTGTTGGATTTCTCATCGAAATGGCATAATTAAAAATTTAAAAGAAAAATTTTATGCAAAAAATCGTTGCTTTTTTTAAAATTGTTTATTAACGATTTTTTTCATAAAATTTTCCTTTGAAATTTTTTAAATAAGCCATTTCGATGGGAAATTCAATTCTCTAAATAATTTTTCCTATGAACTATACCAAAATTTTGCTTACAATTAAAAAACTGAAAGGGGTGCATTTTCACCCCTATCTCCAATTTCCATTCTCTAATTTAATAGCACTCCGCGGTTTTTTCATCTATAATGACACTTTGAACAATTCATGCATTAAAATTGCTTGAACGTCATAGTTCCTTTTAACCCTGTTTTTTGGTTATAATCAATAGCCTAACAAATAATAAATTTTAATAGGAAACGAATCTTAAACATAGAAAATGTAACAGTTATGTCGACTTCAAAGACAATGGCGTGCAACAAACTTACCTTGTGCTGGAGTGTAAATATTTAAGTAGAGGCAGTCTTCGCTCTGATTCTGCAAGTAAGGTAGCAGCCTCTTCAGGTACTCCAACCTTCCCCTCGGCATCTTTTCAAGGGCCGCCGTTTCATTTGAAATATCTGGAAGTTTCTGAGGGCAAACAGGGCCCATCTTGTCAGAAACTCGTATCCCGTCCCAAGGGCTGGGCGTCCTGGTCGGACTAAACCTATTTGACTGCACCGGAGGAGTAGCGTAGGGTACCCCCAAGAACACTTCAATTGGTTTTAAGTATCTGTGACCGTCCATCGGCACTATAAGTCCCTGCAATCGCCCGTACCTCGTTTGGACGATCCGCGTGCTAATCTTAGCATTCTTCATGAAACTGTTATCGCATTCTATCAAAAGTATTAAAACGGCAAAAACTAAAATCCGCAAGATTCCTCTACTTTTCATGCCCATCTTCGTTAAGTTGGAAACATTCCGCGCGAGGAAAAATATTAATTTGAATTTAAATCTGGTTTTACGGTGGGACTGATTCCGCTCGAACTTTTAAAGTTTTAATGAAAAACCCACATTTTCAGTCTTGCAGAACGTAAAAAATACCTTACACGGGAAAACACTAAGGAAAACCGAAGTTCAGCGCGGGTGCTTGAAAATTAATTATTGTTTCTCGAAAATTAAGTTTGTGACTCGCTTTTGTCTGGGAACCTGGAATCGTTTTCTTAAGGTGCAAACAGTTCCATCAATGGCAGCTCCTTGAGTTTATTCTGGCCCCGCTCCTGCAACAAAACGTTTAATTAATTTCGCTTAATTGCCACTTTACTTAGGAACAAATTAAAATGACTCTATGGAGGGAGAAACGGTACGACGCGTTTAACCCAACTCCAAATAATATTCGCAAAATTGCTTTGATTAAACATCTATTGATTTTTTATTACAATTAAGTAGGCAAAAGTGTTTGGGAACTATGAATAATTTAAATCAATAGAAATTATGATGAACAACATGAATCATTATGATGCAAAATTATTAAAAATATTAAGAAGAATTACAATTACTCTGACTATTCTCTAGTGAATGTTCTGAATATTTCTATAGCAATTTGTCAGTACAGCTTATCATCTTACGAAATGATTATTTGTAAACGAGAGAGCTATTATTTTAGTCTTTTGAATATGCATTAAGGAAAATTTGTGAAATCTAAGAAAATTCATTAGTATACGAATATTCATATTTATGTAAACAGTCTGTTCATACATATCCCTTAAAAGCTGTTTATTTACGAATCGAAAGTGTGTTCTTATGTGTGTTGATTTATTCCGACTCAAGACGGAAAACATTTCTGTATTTAATTAAAATAGACACAGAAACAATATTTTTACGCTACGCAGGGTGCCCCGGTACTTGATACAAAAAGTCGAGTACAAATAGATGAGGTCAAAATAATATCAGTTCTTATAAATTTTTTTCATAGGGGCCTTCGTTAACAAGTTACGGGCCCTCAAAAGTGAAAATTAAAAAGGTGTTTTTATTTACAGTTTCTAAACCGATAACTTCAGCATGATGCAAATTTGGTGATCGATAACACATGCGTACAGCTTGTTTCTGATATTTTAAGTGAAACTCATTATGCCCAGAATGCCAGGGAGGGATTTTTGGATAGATGACGAACGCAATCTGCCTGTATCAAAAATAAGTCCCTGAAGAATTTGCCAACGATAATACCCTCTTGGTTCAACTCGGTAAAATTAACAGTTTAGGAAATATTCGTTACTTTGTCACAGTGCACATTGAGTGGCGCGTCCACCATTTTTTGTTTTTAATATTTAATTGGACATAATTACTATGTTAGAACCGTACATATTTTTAAAATAAGAGCATAGAATATCACTGTTTGCTAATGCAATTTTCACTAACAAAATTTGACAAATACACTTTACACATAACACAAAATGGAAAAACAAACCAAGAGTAAGTTAAAGTAAGTTAAAAAATAATTTAAAATAAAGAAAACTATCAAAACACATTTTCAGTATGGGCATTTTCCACCTTCACACACTTCCTAAGTCTACGAATGTTATTTGTTTGTACACGAAAAAGCATTTCTGGGATGTGTCTAATATTATCACAATAGAAATTAATTCTTTGTAGCAATTCAGCCCTTGTCTGTACCGGGGTTGCGCACACTAAACTTCCCGAAGGAAGAAGTCCATCGGGTTAAAATCTGGAGAACATGGTGGTCATGAAATTGGGCCTTCTCTCCCAATCCATTTATTATTAACACATTAGATAAATAATTTCGTACATCAATATTGAAATGAGGAGGAGATCCATCGTGCATGAACCAAACGTTTCTTCGGGTGTTTAATCGAACATCGTCTAATAGTAGCTGCAAATTATTTTCCAAAAACTCCAAATATCGATGTCCATTCAGAGGTTCCTCAAAAACGTATGTATGAAATTATTACCCTTTTTCGTGTACAAACAAATAACATACGTAAACTTGGATGTGTGGGGAGGTGGAAGGTGTCCATATTGAAAATGTATTTTGATAGCTTTCTTTCTTTTAACTTATTTTTTAACTTACTTTAACTTATTATTGTTTTGTTTTTCTATTTTGTGTTATGTGTAAAGTGTATTTGTCAAATTTTGTTCATGGAAATTACATTAGCAAACAGTAAGATTTTCTAGGCTCTTATTTTAAAAATGTATGCTTCCAACATTGCAATTAAGTGCAATTAAAAATTAATTAACAAAAATGGTGTCGGCGCCGCTCGATGTGCACAGTGACATAAAATCACAAATATTTCCTAAACTATTAATTTTACCGAGTTGAACCAAGAGAGTATTATCGTTGGCAAATTCTTCAGGGAACTTATTTTTGGCAAAAATTCTGAGTTTTTAACCATTAGGCATAATCACTCCCGGACGTTCTGGGCATAATGAAGTTTCACTTACAACATTAAAAACAAGCTGTACGCATGTGCCATCAATCACCAAATTTGCTGAAGTTAATGGTTTAGAGACTGTAAATAAAAATAACTTTTTAATTTTTACCTATGAGGGCCCGTAATTTGTTAACGAAGGCTCGTATGAAAAAAATGTATATGAAGAACTGTTATTATTTTGACCTTATCTATCTATACTCAACTTTTTTGTATCAAGTACCGGGACACCCTGTATAGTGAATCTGTAATTTTTAACTGTTATGGATATTACATATGTGGATACCTGTGAGTATATAGATGAGGAATTTGATTAAAATTCAAAGTTAATTATATTTTGAGATTTAAATTTGGTTATATAAATGGGTCATAGTTTGCATTTAATAGTGGTAGTAATATTATTAGAATTTTTATAAAAATTAAAATCCTTAAATAAAGGTCTTAAATAATAATAAATCTACCGTTAATAAGAAAATTGTTTCTGACACTTTTTGCGAATATTTCAGTTCAGTTTATGACCACGAACAACCTGGTATAACATAAATATGTATAATAAGGTATATAACTGATTAAATTATTAATTCAGTATATGTATATACAGGGTGTCTCAAAAGTGACGCCCGTCCTTCTAGGATTTGATTAAGGAGAAAAACGAATTGAAAATGAGGAGTGGAAAATTTTCCGATTGTTTTCCGTTGTTGAGTTATTCAAAAAAGTATTCAAAAAACTAAAAAAGTGAAAATCCATTCTTTTGTCTCAAAACTGAGGTCTGTGCTTATGGAAACCGAGACATAGTAGATAAGTATAGTTTTCGATTGTCGGTTGTACCTGGGGTGTAAGGAATTATTTTAACCTGAAAAGGATAGAGAAAAACATTTTTATAATAAATCATAAACTAAAACCATAATGTGCTTAAGTAATAGAAATTGTTTTAACAAAAGGTGTTCAAATAAGTTGCCTGTTACTTCAAGATAAAGATTATCACGATTCAACATTGAAGCATGAACACTTTGTAGCATCTCTTGGTCTATTAACGCTATATAGCAGCGTATATACGGACTATCAATCATTTCTTTTAAATAAAACCAAAAGAAAAATCTAGGGGATTCATATCTGGTGATCCAGGAGGCCATGGTCCACCTCTTCTAATCCATCTGTCTCGGAAGTTTTCATTCAGATAATTTTATATTCGTAAACCATAGTGTGATGGAGCTCCATCATGTTGAAACCTATAATTTAGTCTAACTGCTAACGGAACGTCATGCAGCAATGACAGTGGTAAGTTTTCATATAAAAACATACAGCTGCAGCAAATACAGCTTTGAACTACATACATATTTAATAACCCATCCCAAATGTTTATTTTTAGTTTTTTGGTTAATTTTTTGAATAACTCTGCAAAGAAAAACAATCGGAAAATGTTCCACTCTTGATTTTCGATTTGTTTTTGTCCCCTTAATCAAAACCCATAAGAACGGGCGTCACTTTTGGGACACCCTGTATACAATAAAGTATCTACCTGAGTCAAAATATAACTGAACACTCTGTACCTGGTAAAGGTATTTAATTGAGGAGCTGTTAAAAATTTAACAGAGATAATGTTGTAACTGCAAACATACTTTGAGGAAATTTAGATATAGAACTAGCAAATGAAGTGTTTTTTAAAGTTAACTTGTTAAATGTAAAATAATTTTTGATCTAGGTTATAATGATACGGAAGTATATACTACATAAAAATATGTGTAGCCTTAATTAAATAATGGATATTAATTTTCTTATTTATATTTAGTTGAAGGCCACAAAAAGGAAACTTGTCGAGGTATTATTTGAATACTAAATACTTTAGCTAATTTAAAACGGAGGGAATATTAAAGATCCTTAAATTGGGTCAATTAATTTGCAAGTGGGGAATATTAATTCGAAAACCGTAAGTAGTCCAGGGCTATTTTTGATACCACGGTATACAAGTTTTATAAAGAAATCGATATTTGAATAAAGAGAAAAACTTTATTTCAGTTTCATTAGCAGTATAACATCTGACTTAATTTAACGGGCATGCTACAAGTTTTATAGATTTTAACCAACAAGATACGCTTTTGTGATCTGTAATCAATAGACTAAATAAGAACCGATCATTTTTACACATATGTGTTTTATTAACTGTAAGATAGTTCTCTAATGTGCAATTTTTAAAACTGATATCAAATGTTAATCACTAATTTATTAACAGTAAATAATTATAACATCTGTCAGCTTATTTAGTTTATATTATACTTTGGAACTTTAATAAATATACATCAAGGATGTAATATAATGTGAACACTATATTAATGTTGGTAGTACTGATTTAAGTATTTTTGTGTATTCATGTTTCGAACAATGCACAAATTTACTCTCCTGTGCATGTATGAAAATTCATACACATTTTGTAGTTTTGTTATATTGTTTAATTTCTCCAATAATTGCTGTTTATAATTCTTTGTCTTTGATGTTGTTGTTGGATAACCAATTGTG